GCCCCGCATCGAGCCCCGCATCGAGCCCCGCATCGAGCCCCGCATCGAGCCCCGCATCGGGCTCCCTGCTCTGCGGGAGGCCTGCTTCTCCCTCTCCCGCTCCCCCTGCTTGTGTTACCTCTCTCGCTGCGCCTCTTTCTGTCAAATAAATAAATAAAATCTTTAAAAAAAAAAGATTTCTGTTAAAAAAAATAAATCATTTGGACAGATTCATTCAGAAGTGTAATCCGAGTGTTTTTTACTTAAAGGCACTAGATTTCATCCCATTTTCTAATACATACATACATACCTGCCTTCCGGCTTCGTTGTTGTGTAGATTCATTGCTAACAGTACTTTGCTTTCTTTTCCTGTGCTGTTTCTGACGGGGAGATCTAGGAACTTCCTGCTGAACCACATGCCATACTGGACATCATCCGAGCAGCCCCCCCAGTGCCAGCCTTCACTGGCGGAGCCGCCGCTCTGCAAGCTGGTGTCGCAGGAGCACTCGGTCATGTTGCCTGCACTGCAGGACCTGGTCACAGAATGCACCAGGCCTGCAGCCATCACAGCATAAATAAACGCTGTTTCCTTGGTGCCTAGAACAAAACACACATTGCTGAATGCAAGAGTCTGTTTATGTTCATAACAAAGCTTCCTGCTCATCCCCTTCGCAGGGAAGCGATTTTTCAACTGCTTTCAATGGATGCTTGAATGAGTACATACTCAGGAAGGACAGTTTCATATTGTTTTAGTCTTTCACAGAAGCAACATTAATTTTCAGTATCTCACTTGGGGGGATTTTTATATATTGTGTATCGAATCAGCTGTTTGTTTTTAAAATTTGACACGTATGTCAGCACCTAGCTCAGTGCTTAATAGACAAGTTCAAAAAATCCGTGTTGAATTTAAAATCCCTTGCATGGATACAGCAAATGGTAGTACAATGTCCCAAAGAGTCCAGATTACCTTTCTTTTTAAATTTCAAATGTGTTCTCGTGAAACACACGCTGAAATGTTTGGTGTGATTCTTGTTTGTATAAATTATACATGTTGGAATGCAAATCAGAATTAAGCAAAGGCCAAAGCAATCAGTAGATGTTACAGTTTACTTTCATATCAAAGACTGGTCTTCTTTTTAAAGGATATTATAAATAACAATCACAAATATTAATATGAAACAGTTAAATATCTTATATAGTACTAGCTAATCCTCTTACAGGCTGAAAGAGAATGAAAAATTGAAATGTCACCAGAAAAAGAAAAAGAATTGTTATAGAAAACTATTGAATATATATTTAGCACACCTGCAATAAAGTTTGAGCTAAACTCTTCGCAAATTAAAGTCCCATTAAAACATTAGTAAAATGGACTTCTATAGAAGAGACTCAGAAGGTGACCTTTTTTCTTTTGAGATGTTAAGATTGGAGTACGGTTGCATGCCCGTTGTCCAATCAACCTTTTCAACAGCTGATGTCTCTGCATTTCAGCAACTGAAACTTTTCTTCTTCTTCTTTTTCTCCTCCTCCCCCTCCTTTTTCTTTTCCTTCTCCTCCTCCTCCTCCTCCTTCTCTCTCTTCCTTCTTCCTCCTTCTTTTTTCCCTTCTTCCTTCTTCACTTCTTTTTTCTTCCGCGGGGGTCAGGGCTCCCTCGGAAGGGCGTGCCGCCCAAAACGCAGCGGGGCAAACGCAATGCTTTGGCGGCGGTGTGTGTAGGGACCGGGTGGAGAAGGGTCAAAGGAGGAGGGAGAACGGAAATGAAATGTGAAAAACAACAACGAATCTTTCGGCGCCCAGGTTCCAAAATTCTCTGAAACTGCTGATATTCCTAGAACAATCCTGGGTCCCTGTGCCTTCATCCCCACCGAGTCACTAGGCACGTGGAAGTGGAACTTTGTTTTACTGCAGCTTCCCGCGCCGCGGGTGTGCTCCGAGGAGGGAAGATAAAGAAGGAAAAGAGAACAGAGGGGAGAGCCAAAGCAGTCGTGCTCGGGTTAGCCGCACGTTGAGCTGTCCAGGACACTCCCTTTAAAAATCACCATTAATTCTGTCTACCCCGCGCTCCGAGGTGCCAGCAAACGTGGGGCTTCGCTGCAATTAGCCCCTTGTCCAGGGCTCGGTGCGCAGCGGAGTTGCTTAAATCAAAGCAGATGCGGCGGCAGCATTCCCTGCTGCCGACATCATGTTTCTCCAGCTGGTCACCCACGTAGGGGGGCGCTACGGGGTCCGAGGGGTCGGCGGGGTGGAGTGTCAGAGTTTTTCTGCAGCTCCCGCCGGGCGCTGCGGGAAGGAGGAAGAGCTACAGCTCCTAGCGCCCCGCTCGGGACCTGGGGAGTCACCCCCCTCCGGGACCGCACCTGCACCCGGGTCTGACTTCCGTCACCCCCAGTTCTCGTCCGCTAAAGGACCTCTTTTGGGATTTAGAGAGCGACGGACCACGCAAGCGCTACTTTATTGACTGTACTTGCAGGAGTTGTCGCCCTCCACCCCGCGCCATGCCGGAGGGTCCGGGGACTTACCGCTGCTCAGCTCGTAGCCAAAAAGGGGGCTGGTGCCCGGCGGGGCGGCGGTGACCAGGCAGTTCCACCTCTCGTGCCGGAACTGGCTCCTGCACTCCTGAATGCCCAGCCGCGCGCCCTCTCCGATGCTCGGCAGCAGGTACGGTTTCCTCTTGCACAGCTCCTTCTGGCGGCTGTTCAGCGGCAAGTTGGCGCAGCCCAGCTTCTCCGGAACCCCAAAGGACGCGATGCCCAACCACCTGCAAGACACCGCCGCCCCTAGCGTGAGCCGCTCCCCAGCTCTCCTCTCCAATCCCAGAGGTTTCGCCGCAAATTGGGTCATCCGCCCTAGGATCCCCGGTCCTGCTCCCCGGCTTCAGCTGAAAGTTCCCTGAGGCTGGGCACCCCTTTTGCCACAACCCCCGTGCGCCCCTGCTGCCCGCATACTCACATCCAATTTCCCTGGGCTCCGCAGGGGAACAGCGCGAGCAGGGCTGCCCACAGCGCGCACAGGCGCGACAGTCCCAGGAGCGCCGCTCTGTCCATGGCCCCCGCATGGAGTCCTCCAGCCCCAGCCACTCCTCTTCTGCCCTCCCTGCCCAGGGGCCCGCCAAGCCAGAGGTCAGTTCCCCCGCACCAAGTTGTCCCTCGCCCTCTTTCTCCCTGCAGACAACATAAAAAGAAGGCCAGCGGTGGGGGCTCCCGGCAGCCTTCCCCTGGCTTGCAGGGAGCTGAGAGGAGATGGAGAAAGTAGCCTGGGGCCCTCCTCCTGCGACGAGCCGGAGGTGTGCAGGAGGTGCGGGAGCGTCCCTCGCTGGAATAGGTGAGAAACTTCTGTTGATGTAGCTCTGCCTCCATCGCCCCCGGCCTCTCCTCCCATCTCCTCCCCCTGGCCGCGCCTGGAGCCTGATTGGCCCAGCCTCAGCCCCGCATCTCATCATCCCCGGACCGCAGGCTCCCATTGGCTGCGAGCGGGCTCCGCGGGGGGCGCTCCGGCCCGCTGCTCCCGGACGGCGCGCCCGGACCCGGGTGTGTTCTTGACCTTTCCTCCTGTCACCGTCTTCCGCGAGCCGGCCTCTGCGGGAGGGGTATTGATTCAACCCGAAGACTGCTGGGGCCGCTTCTGTCTTAGCAACCCTGGGGGAAGGCGTGGGTCGAATGGGACACGTTTGAGTTCCACCCACCCCCCTCGCATTTGGATTAATTACCCTCTGGGTGGAGTGGCTGGAAAATCTCACTGCCCCCGTTCCTTTCCTCTCCTTCACCTCACCGGAGAGGAATCGTTTTGAGTCAGAGTTGGTACCAAACAAGTTGACCTTTCAACACTCTGCTTGAGGTCCCAGTGTGTCAGGAGACTTGAGACTGGTGAAATGCTGTCAGGCTTGAGGTTGTCGTCGTTTAAATAGACAGCTATTTTTAGCGAAAGAGAAGGTTCTGGCCTAGTATCTAATCTACCATATTTAAATTGTGTTACGTGATTTCGTTTTCCCGGTTTGTCTTATTTTCTGCAATCTTTGAGAGCATTGTCAGAAGGTGGAGGGCAGAGAAAGAATGCATGAGAGAGCTTCTGGAGAGCTTTCGAAGAGATGAGGCTTGTGTCCTTACCCTTATCTCCAGTCCATATTGGTGGCTCACGTGGAGACCTTGGACAGGGCTACACATTGAAGACATGTTAAAAAAAACTTACTTATTAACTGCCTAAGTGTGCCCTGTACTGGGGGGAACTTACGCAGACAATATCCCTTCTCTCAAGTTCACAAATCAACCACAGAGACGAGTCTAAAACAAAAGAATTTGAGATTTCAGTGAAGGAGAGTATAGAATCCAGTGAGGTACTCTTTGGAGCCAGAGTTCAGAAGCCAGAGACTACATGGTGGCTGGCAGTTTAGGAAGGTTAGGTACCCAGTGTTTTTCAGGATAGAAGATCTCTGGGAGAACCGTGAAGGTGAGCCGCGTGTGCTTAGCTGTGGTATCAGAAAGCCCTGCCTCACCTCGTCGGTGGCAAGAAATGTTTCTGAGAGGTGTCCCCTGCTCCCTAGAGGACTTCTGAAATGGTAGTAAATTCTCAGGGTAGACATACCAGCTTCGTGGGTGCCAGAATCCAGACTTAGTCAAATAAAAGATTGGCTTTGCTTGCTTTATCCTCAAATAAAGGATTTTATTTGCTGCATATCTCCCATATGAGCCCAGAGCAATAAAAGCTCACTGAAGTTCCCATCCCATCCCCATTCATTCTTTTATCCAACAAATATTTGTTGAGTGAACACTGTGTACCAGGTCTTAAAGCCACATTGTAATTTTTAGAGAGTCAAGTTGATGATAGGGTGTAGTTACTGATCCAGAAATATTTTGGCTAATGGCTAGTGGCCTCTCTCAAAATCAGAGCCTTCATCCAAGCTCACTTATTCTGTGAGCCTCTCCAGGGGGGATCATGGAGCACTCTCTGCTGTATCCCCGCCATTGGGCCCAGTGCATGAAATCTTGGTTTTGAACATAATTTATTGAGTGGACTAACATGATGAGGAACGCCCTGGGCACATACCTAAATGGGCTAAATGATGAAACAAGACAAGTGACTTCCTTTTCAGGGGGATGGGGGAGGGGAGAACATTAATACTTAGGGATTATTGCGTCCATACCTCTAAAGCCAAGGACACTTATTTCTAGGAGTTGATAGAGTTGAAGAAATACACTTTTCATTCAATGAACAGACATTTGAGTGCCTTTTTTTTTTCTGCCAGGCATTGTGAACCCTCATGCACTGAGAGCCTCGTAAATGCCTCCAGCATTTCATCTCTTTCTCTCTCTCTCCACACAAAATTTCAACTCCCCCCCCCAATTGGTACTCATTTTATAGATAAAAAAATGAATTTGGAGAGGTTGAACACTTGCTCAAGGTCACTCAGCTAGTAAGTAGTAGAGTCAAAATTCACTCTTATTTTAGAGGGCTTGTTCTTTCCACCACAAAATACTGCTGCATAACCTGATTCACAACCTTTTTTTTTTTTTTTCCTGATTAAACCCCACATCACTGGGCCTCAGGATCTAAATTTCTCTTTTGTGTCCCATGGTTCTTTACATCACAGTTCACAGATATCTCCATCAAAAGAGTTGTTCTGTTCTCTGAAGATAAACAAACCCCACAGTGGGTCTCCATGAAGTGGGTCTCATTGAGGCAGATGTCAGTCTCCATGGACTTCCTGCCCTTTTCCCCTTCTTCCCTATCTGGTTTCTGTGGGCTGGGAGGAGCCCGGAGGGCGGCAATGGGTGAGTTGGGTGGTTGAGGTGCCCGCCGGTCAATCAGTTATAATCTTAGGCAATTAATATCACCATTGAGCTTCAGTTTTCTCACCTTTAAGATGACAATAAATTCTTTTTGAGATCTCAATCTCCTACTACAGTTCCAGGAGGGCTGGAGGGAGGGAGGCGGTGTGTGTGTGTGTGTGTGTGTGTGTGTGTGTGTGTGTGGTAATGGGGGGAGGTGACTGCATTTGCTAGTGGATTTACCCTCCCATGAGGAAAAAACCTTGCTCATCGACAAGGGCATGTCTACCTGAGTGATGGCCCAGTTTCCAGGGTGTCACAGGCTAGAGTTTTTTGACCCCCATCTTGCATTTTCAGTTCTAATTTTGCTTCTGGTTTTCAGTGAAAATGAATTCTTTTAATTGCAGAAATCTTTTTAAATGGTTGAACTTCAAAATACATTATAATCTGGTCAGGTGATATGAAATTTTATTTTAAGGATAAAGGAAGTTACAGATATTTTATTTATTCTGGAACAGGAAAGTGGGGTGTTCTTTCATAATCTAATTTATATCTCCAATATAAAGTGGTTCATCTCTACTATCATGAGTGAGGTTTATATTATTTAGAGAGAAATAATGTAAATGGTGGGTCAAGTCTGAACGTATACATAACTGCACATTTCAAATTGGTAATTTTTTAAGTAGCAAGCAGGAGCCTGTTTCCTATTTATTATTTTCAATTTTGTAATTTGAAGGGAGGACAAAATATTACCTGGCCAATAGAATATGACCTGATGGTTTACTATGTTCTGCAAGGTTTCCAAGCTTCAGGTACCCGTATCTATAAAATGTTGCAAAGATGATACCATTCATCCTTCGTAAATACCACCTGGTACTATGTCATCTCATGATCTGATCCCAGCTACGAGAATCTGATCAATGCTAAGAAAAGCACCATGGGACTCCAAGTATGCACAGGTTCCTGGAGCATCTATAGCTTCTCGATTCCACAAGGAGAATGTGTATTTGAACCTGTTTTCCTAGCAGGGGTAAGGAGTTTTGAGCTGTATTCTGGAAAAGGATATTTAGGAGGGGGAAAGCCAGATCTCAAGCACATTCACTCACTCAAAAGAGCTCTCTCGAGGGACTGAATCTGTCGTGACCAGAGTCATCTTTGACCAGCTGGGCCAACTGATAAGTAGTTGGCTGGCAATAAATCCAACTGCCCACTCAGGACAGTTGTAGATTATTAGTTGTCGAACCCAGAGGAGTCTGTTCTTTCTGGTAGTTTTCTCTCCGTCCCTGGGAAACTCAGCAAAAAAGTCTGCCCGCACAGATATGCCTTGGACTCTGCCTCTGGCAATCCATCAGAGAACGAGACTTCTAAGGGCCCTGTTGTAAGAATTTCTGCTGCAGATCACAGAGACTTACGTACTGGAAACTGATACCAGAAGCACCCCAGCTGGTCTTAACTCCCGTGATAGAACAGAAGACCAGAGGTGACTTTTTACATAACTGGGTCCCCATCCATTCTATTTTAAATTTCACCTGGAGGCGACCAGTGTGTGGAACAGAGCACAGGCTTGTGACTACTGGCTCTCAGGCGGGGGCGGAGAATGGCATTCTGGGTGTCCTGTTGTCCTTTGGTGGCCCGAAAAGCCAGTAAGAATGACGGACTTGGAACAGCAGAGCTGACACCAGTGGCAGAACCAGGAGAAAGAGTGGGGGTTGAAAAAGGGATGCTGTCTTGCTGTTTGCATCTCCGCAAGTATGAAAGCGAACACTTTTTGTCTACTTGTCTTAACAAATTAAGGCTGGGCGCCTGGGTGGCTCAGATGGTTGGGCGTCTGCCTTTGGCTCAGGTCATGATCCCAGGGTCCTGGGATCGAGTCCCGCATCGGGCTCCCTGCTCAGCGTGGAGCCTGCTTCTCCATCTGCCTCTC